AGGAATGCCCCTCACAGAACTCAGCTCACTGAAAGCAGCATTTTATTGATCTAGATGCATAAAATTTCCGTGGTTTTCATGTACATTATTCTTTCTTAAAGACACCTGCAACTACATCAGGGCGGCTGAAAAGTTCTTTTTGAAAACTCACCTAGTACCATCAATTGGTTCCTGAACCGGTTATAACGGCGGACATGCCTGGTAAAATGAATAACAAAACTGTGCAAAAATGATATGGCACAACAAATTGCAGTGGTAACAAATACCCCGGAAATAAATTTGTGCAATCCATCGAAAATTCCCCAACTCGCTCAAGAACAGAAATGGATCATTTCTTGGACCCATTTGTTAGTTTTGAGGGCTTATTTCAATATCACAGAAGCAGCCTGCGGATATCACTGAAATTAGCACGCAAAGCTGATAGGAATGCACCTGCAAAGAAAATAGTTTAAGCTCAAAAGTTGTTGTGAAGTTCTGCATATAAACATGCCCCAGGCAGCAGTCAAGCTGCCCAAGTAGCATGTTCGAAAATGTGCTACATGATAAGCGGTCAGGGGAAAAAATAAACTGAAATTACCACCCATTATTAATTTCATTTGTCCGTTAGGAGGGACAGGGAGAAAAACCACAAATTCAAAAACTGCCCGTAACTAGTTGGAAAGCTCATGGATCTCCAAGATTCGATGCCTTATGTCCCCAGATTACATAACAGCATTACCTCAACGCCCTAGGAAGAACTTGTCCAATTGGAGATAAGGCCTTTTAGCAGTATCCCTGCCTTTGAAGAGGTACCCTCATTTAAAGATACCATTAAGAAGGAGGCGATCCAATAGAATCCAAATCCTCAAATATGCTCTATTTTGAATTCGAATTTGAATAACGTTCACAGCATTTTTCAAAATACCTTCCCTAATTAAAGTAAAGAAATTTTGAGAATTACAGACCTGAGACTTGGCCATCAAAAACACGATGATCAGCAGATAAAGTCAAGTTCATTTTGTTGATAACTGCAGGCCTCTCAATTCCTGGTAGAAAGAAAGTTCAAGTTATAGCACTCAAAGAAGTTCTGGTACTCGAAACCAACAAATATCAGGTGGCAGAACCTACAACCAGCAGATACTTACCATCACTTCCAAGTAGTGGTTCAACAACTTTGTTCCCTCTACCAACAGCAAGTATGCCAGCCTGCAATAAAAGAGATCTTTTATATACTATACATCTACGGGAAGCCAACAATGATGGTCGTAGTGTATCTCTGTATTTTTTTCCATGCCCACTTCTGATTTAATCAACACCGGGACAAATAAAAGATCACATGTTTATGATATTGCTGTTTTAAAAATAAAGACCACATGTCTATGATAGTTCCATTTTAAAAATTTAACAGCAGCAATATTTTCCAGAAACATGGAAGGTGTTTGTTCGGCATAAAAAAGGAATGATATTTGACTAAGGAGAATTTAAACACTAGCTACTCATGACTCATTTCTTCCAGTAAAGGAGATGAAAAACAGCAGATATTCAAGCTATATGCGATGCCTAAACCCAAGAGGGCCACAGTCATTTGATTTTCTCTCTCTCTTGAAATAGTGACAAATTTCTTTGCAAGGCTGAAGCCAATCATATTGCCTTAATTGAAAGAGCATAATTTAATGCATACATGAACGTGTATGTTCAGGGTTGAGTTTGAGGGGGAGGGGTGAAAAGAGAGAACCTGGGGCGGATTTATAATTGCAGCAAATTGGTCCACTGGATACATTCCCAGGTTGGAAATGCTGCACAATAACAAGGAAAAATTGGGTATATACATTTGTCTTTTATTGTATTTGTTTCAGAAAGTTCAGCCTAATAACATATGAACCTGAATGTTCCTCCTTGAAATTCATTTGGTGTAAGCTTCCCAACCCGAGCTTTCTCAGCTAGTTGCTTGACCTGAAATTCCAAGCAAACAAAAATACAATAAGCAAAGCAAAATTGTGGTCTTCCCATACAGAAGTTTAGACACTCGATAATTAACAGAAAACGAGGAGAAGATACATGAAAACTGATTGAAAAATATAGAAGGAATGACCAAAAGTTCATCACAAGCTTGCCCAAAAGCAGAGAGTAGGGGGTGGTGGAGAGTTCAACAGTCATGGTTTCGATAAAAATGAATTTTCTTAACACATTTCTCGAGTACGCATACTGTAGGTGTAACCTATCCCTGGATTCTTAGAAGCAAGCATGGTCTTAGTGTAAGAGATATGGTCTATTAAAATCCACTAATGAATCCAACCATGGCAAAACAGAAATAAAATCACATTAGTTACCTCTGAGGAGATTGCAGAAATGGATTTCTGATCAGCATTCCTAACAATTGGCGTCATTAAGCCCTGCATAAGCAAATAAGGTATAATAAATTCTGTAGGTCACAAAGGTATAATGTTAAAAAGCCACCAGCTAGCAAATGCACGGATACAAGTTAGGGTCTTTAGAATAGTTACTTCATGCATAAATGTTGAAAAGTATAATAGTCTCTAGTTCTCCCTCTCACTAACTGATTTTGGTTGAACTACAACTGGTAAGTGGCCCTTTTGGAATCTAGTTTTTGTCCAAACTTTTCAAGAGATTATAAACACCATACCTTCTCAGTAGCAACAGCAATCGATATGTCAACAGAGTCGCACAAAATGATTTCTCCTTTCTCAACATTCCAGTAAGCTGTCGTGCATTGATGTAGCATTTTCAGTATTAGAAATGGAGATAGAGACACAGCATGGTAAATTTTCTCCTGAAATTTAAAAATATTATGGAATCCAAAAAAGAATTCATACTTCAAAGCCCAACACTCATGAAAAGTCAGGGTTGGTTACCCTGTGGGGGCATAGACTCTAGATCACCCTTCGGACCCTAAAGAAATGCATGCATTCTTGCAAGCACATAAATCCGACAAAAGTATGGCATTAAAAAGACTTGCCATTGTTGAATTTAAAACACAACATAACCTAAAGCAGCATCAAATACACAAAGAGGGACAAAATGTGTTGAATGATTTCTTTGGTCAATTAATCTCCTTACAAAAACCAAATCTAGGTCTGCAATAAATCTATGCAATTGAGTGTTCTGATGCAACCAGTATTTAAAAGAATTATAATATATCTTACCATTAGCTTGCGGTACATTTCTCAGAGCAATTGCAACAGCTTTGATGACAATGTCATTCACTGAAACTTTGACATCATGTTGCTCTGTAAAATCAAGAAGCTCTGATGCATGAATAGTCTGCCAGCTATAATTTCTCAGAGAAACACAATAGTAACAACTGAAATTCTATACCTTTAAGCTCCTTTCTGAAAGAAAGAAGAGGATCCAGAATAACATCTGATGAACACATCTGACACCATTAGAACAAA